TATGTATTTAATTATATTTGCATAGCTATACCTTACCACTTTACTCCACTCTTACGGAACAATTATGGAGTGATTTATTCACATTTATGCGTATTACGTGTTCAGTCTATAGTCCTAATGTGTTTGTTGACACTTGAATGCTTTCATCAGTGATGTGAAAGACGTCGACGAGAACAATAAAATGTAAAGTGAAGCTCTAATTCGAGTCGTCTTTACAGACAGAACAGAATCTTTCGAAGCAGAATAATGCAACATTATTTTATTAACATTTTTAATTCAGAGTAAAACTTCTGCTCATTTCTTGATCTTTAAAAAAACTTGCAGTTTCAGATTATACTCTCTTTTACAGCAGCTTTTTATAGATGCCTAACCCTATTTTTCATTTTCACTCTCTTTGTGATGTTTTTCCATGTAATCAGAACTGGTTTATCAGGATGAGCTGCAGTTTTTCATTTTTGTGTCAAACACAAGGAAGAAATCAATTCAAGGTTAAACACACACTCTCTTCATGTGCCAGATCACTCACAGATTTCACTTTGACGATCCGGAGAGATGATCATAACTTCAGCTGAACATGGACCTGCTCGTGTTCATTTCTGTGACTGTGATTCCAGTTATATCCAACGGTAAGCGTAATGTGTTTCTCTCTTCAAGTTCATTCTGGCAAGAATGTTTCTCATGATCTTTTCATTTTTGCTGGTAGAGGCTTCAGCTAAAACACTTGAAATGAGTTTGTGCATACGTATGGATTTCTTTGCAAAATATTTATTGTATTTTCTTTATAAAATGTATTATTTGTACCTGATAATACATGATCATGTGTCCTCCTTCAATTAGTGGGTAAAATCAGTGCATGTGTTGTAGTTAGTGAATAAGTATAATTGGAGTTATACATTAACTCATGATTATCTGTGCATTAGTTAGGCATGAATTAATGCATATTAGTGCACCTGTATTGTAAAGTGTTACCGAATAATCGATCCTGCTTTACCCGTCATTTTCAACATGATTTTGCGTAATATCTTAAGCTTTCAGTAGTTTTGTAGGTTGATTTACTTGAGATGACGATTCTGATTATGAGATTTGTATCTACAGCTTTTATTCTGATTTATGTCTCTCAGCTAATATATATATATATATGTTTCCAATCATAAGGCAGTTTTTGTGATTTCTTTGTGAGATCTTAAGAGACCTATTAGTGTTAAATGTTCTGTTGGGATTTAAAGAGTTTCTGAATGGTCTGAGTGGTTTAAATGGGGTTTTTTTTTACACAGTGAAGTCTTCCATATGTACACTCTCAGAAAACAGGTACAAAAGCTGTCACTGTACCTTTCCAAAAGGTACACTTTTGTACCTAAAGGGCGCATATTGGTACCTTAAGGGTACATATTAGCACCTAAAATGTACATAATAGCACCTAAATGTACATATTAGCACCTAAAATGTACATAATAGCACCTAAATGTACATATTAGCACCTAAAATGGACAAAAGGTTACCTTTTGAAAAGGTACAGCCCCAGTGACTGCTACCTTTTTTTCTGAGAGTGTATAGTGGTGTGTTATCTGCGTCGTGTCAAAGAATCACTCTTGAATGCTGAAACTTGTCCCTTCAATCCTCCTTCATTTCATCTGTGAGTAACAGACAGATTATGAGGACTCCTGAGAGCAGCCATGCACAACAGTAGATAGAAAGATAAAGGATAAATCAACATAAAGAAAACCACTTAAAGAAAGAAAATACTCAATGAAACATACGTGTCTCCATCACAGGGGTCTTAAAGTCACAATTATACAAGTATAACTACAATCAGTTACAAGAAATATGTCCATTATTAAATCAGCAGGTAAAGGTGTGTGAGACCGCTGTGAACGCTCTGGGAAGAATGAGGAATACCCAAAAGTGGATTCACAAAATAAATGTTTTTAATGCACTCCTGCTGCACATTAAATATATATTTGATTTAAGCGAACGTGAGTTTAACTGAAGGGGAAGCCAGAATGAGATTTTAATAGATATGTTCTGGTGCCGACTCTGGATTATTTCCTTTAGAGATGCATTTTTTTATGGCGATGTTTTTCCAACTTAATCAGAACCGGTTTGTCTGGATGATTGCAGTTCCACGGTAAAGTCAAACAGGTTTCAGCATGTCTGTATTATCTCTTATAAAACTTTTTGACTTGATGAGCCACAGAGATTAAGATATTTTATCATAACTGAACATGGATCTGCTTATGTTTATATTTGTGGTTGTCATTCTAATAATATCTGATGGCTTATACTTGTTTATCTTTAACCTAAAGCTGGTGACAAGGCAAATATGCATTTTTTTGCAACTAAAATATTTTATTTTAATTTAAAAAGCAGTGTTTTAATGCTTCCCATGATGCACATTGTGAGTCTGTTGAGTCTGTTGTACTTCAGTATTATACCTCAGGTTATATTTCCTGGTTACCTGAGTTGACCCTGTGTTTACAACCCGTTTTTCTACAACAATTAAAGTGAAAGAATTTATGTTGCTGACTGATACACAACGTTTGCTTGAGAAATGCAAAAAAAAAGAAAGAAAAAGAACAAATTAAAGTGCACACACACGTTGTGTATTAAGAAGCCATTTTTTCATGAGAAGTTTCCTTGTGTTTACGAACATTATTAGCAGTTATTAGAGATTGAGACCCATTGTTTGAGATATGACAGAGGTGTAGTCAAGTAGACCAAGATCACGGCGTCAATGCAAGAAATATCTGCGCGCACATGAAACGACTGAAACCGACTCAAAATGATGTAGTACACATGCCAGACCAGTGTGTGGCGCTGTAATTCTGCCACAGAGATACACTAAACACAGAGAAGAAGACTTGAAGCGTGCACATACACCTTGTGTAATCATTTCAGTAGCTTCTTTTCATTTTTCATCGTAATTTCATTTCATATCTGGATCAGACAACAGACAAGTGTCATAGCATAAGAAAGAAAATATGAATAAATACACTGTAAATTGCTGTTACGTGGCGTAGCGTTCTCTGACTAGTGTCGACATGAGGGGTTATGACATCATCGTTTCACCAAATAAATGGGACCCGGTTTTAAAAACGGTTTCAGGCATTAGTTATGAACACCTGTTGTAAACCACGTAGATATTATGTATATGTAGACGGTACGATTACGGTAATTTATTAAATCATAGTCTACGACGCAAGAATCTAGTATAGAGGGATAAAACGTCTTCAGCGGTAAACAAATAGAGCAAGATACTCTATTTCTAAGGCACTTCTCTTAGATAGCACACACTACACGTTTGGTCCGTAAACAAGCACCGATTTGCCTCAGATTTCAGGCATTGTTCCACAAAACCGTCTGCGAGTGAAAGTCTGGGCTAAAATCGTGCTGTGTGTGCTTGGCATTGAGTAAAAGGAGAAAAATAGGGAGGACCTCAGTGCTTACTCTCGAAAATAAAGTACATCATATTACGTACATGAGATAAAATAGGGATGTCATTATCTGTTTCTTCTTACTAGGGGTGATGACATCATCGTTTCACAAAATATACTGATTGGCTGTTCAGATAAAAACACAAGGGTGTGTTTTTTTTTATTTATCCACTCGGCCCGGTTTCAAATAATAGCGATTTCAGTCTCTTAAAACGGCGGATCCGTCTGGACGACACGGCAATACGATACATCTTCTTTACAAATACATTGAAATGTGTCTCAGTGTGGACAAGGCCTAAGAACATTCAAGAGTGGACTTAATGCAGTAATAAAGTGATTAATTGAGTGATGATTAATCATTATTGATGAACACCTGCTGTTAACAAGCAGAATCACTGAAGAAAAGATGAAAAACACAGTAAAGAAAACTACAACTGACTTCAGCCAGTCTTATACCTGCAACAGACTGTACTATTTCAGCAATCCTATAGACCTTATGTAGCCCCGCCCCTTTTAAGCGCTGCGCTCGTTGTCTTTTGACTTCCGGTCTGTATTTTCATAGCGATCTTGCATAGGTATGAATGAACTGCTTAACATTTGTTAAGACATCTGCTTTACAATGCTTATGATAAACATTACAATGCTCATGATAACTTTTGTTAGCTCTACAATAAGTAAATCCACTTCACCAGCTAATTACTCCTCGACAGCGATGCCACAGAAATATACAGAGCGACCGCAAAAACAGAAGTTCAAAGACGATATTCTAAAGATGGCGGCGCCCACGTTTCTCTGGTGCATAAGGTCTATTAGATCATTACAAAACACTGCACTCATGAAATAAACTTAGAATTGACGCGTATGTAGACTGTACGATGATGATTATTATTGTATTGTAGTCTACGATGGAAGTAGTAAATAAGAATAAAACATCATCAGTATGCACTAGTGGTTTATAAATAGAGCAAGATACTTTATTTCTCTTATTTAGCACACACATTAGTAAACGAGCACTGATTTGCCTCAGATTTAGGCATTTGTTGGCAATTTCCACACAACCGTCTGTGAGTGGATAAGAGCAGCAATAACCCCCTTAAGGTGAATAGAACAGAACCAACATGAATGTATACAGATATTATTAATTCAAGGTTTTAAAGTACAACATAATTTGAGAATATATTCTTATTCGAGGGGAGTCAGAAAGGCAGACCCTGACTGAGACAGGAGGAGCTGGGGAGGTAATCGCACCTGAGAAACATGATATCAGCTGATAATACTGAAGGAGTTACACATGTATACAGTGATGTCGTATTCCTATCGTAGACGTGGATCAGCTGATAATACTGAAGGAGTTATACATGAATAAAGTGATGTTATATTCCTATAGTAGACGTGGAACAGAGTAGAGTCACTGATATGATGTGAGCTGGACTAACGTGACCTGCCAGAACTGAAGCTACGCTTGATTTTACAATACATGAGTTTTCGACAGCTAAAAATGTCATTATTGAGTTTTGACAACAAAACAAGCTTTATTTCACCTTTCTCTTTCCCCTGTCTATGGGAAACATGTTTTCAGGGTTGACTGTGCACGGTCCCTCGGGTCCTCTGGTTGCTCCTCTGGGATCTTCACTGGTTCTGCCCTGTTATGTTGATGAACCTTTACTAATGGAGAGACTGGAGGTGGAGTGGAGAAGAACAGACTCAGAGACTTTCGTTCATCTGTTTCAAGATGGTGAGAGTCGACCAGAGGCACAGTCGCAGGATTATCAGGACAGAGCTCATTTCTTCACTGAGGAGATTAAACACAGAAACTTCTCCCTCCGGCTGGACCATCTGAGAGCTGAAGATGAAGGACGATACACATGTACAGTTCACAGTCAGCAGGAGTCTGGAGAAACTGAGGTTCAAATAAAAGATGTTGGTGAGTCTGAACTGAAATGATCTGTGTGTGTAGATAGGTGTGTGATATTTACACAGTTTGTTCTTTCAGAGCGTTTGCTGGTCTCAGGATCAGATCGGTCCATGTCTGCGTCTGTGGGTGAAGACGTCACTCTGAACTGCTCTGTCGACTCTCACATCAAACCTGAACACTTAGATGAGGTTTCCTGGAAGAAAACTGATGAAGATAATGAAGATGAAGACAAGCTGGTCCTGCTCTACCAGTACAACAAGACCTTTCCAGGTTCATCAGATGAGCGATACCGAGACCGAGCTGAGTTCTTCACCACTGAAATCCCCAGAGGAAACTTCTCTGTCCGACTGAAGAGCGTCAGAACGGAGGATAAAGGGGTTTACATGTGTCATGTGTTTGCTGGAAGACATTCAGCCAATGCAACTGTAGTGCTGGACCAACTGGGTGAGTCAATCAACTAATACACAAGTGGAATTCAGTTATACATTACAATATACAATATACATATACAAGTGTATGAATACAACTGCTGTTTTTAATGGACAATAACCGAACAGCATTATATGTGTAAAGAATGACAATTCCTCTGAGATCAGATGACTTACACAGCTAATAGCACAGTTATATACACAGTTCAGGACAGTGTTCTTCACGAGACACACGATAGACATGTTAGTTGTAACTACAGTCACACACAAAGCACATTTAAATCCTTCGTTTCATTTCTTTTTTTTCTGAATACTTGCATGAAATTATAAAAAGGACAGTTTTGGCTTGTCAAATAACAATAAAACATCAAATATATTGATTTTATATTTATGTAGTTTAGTTTGTTAATTTATATACTGTATATGTTGTATTATATTAAATAATCTAATAAATACTCTGCAATTATATTTTCAGTAATTCGTTTTATTTATTATTATTGAACTACTTTTTTTCTCTGTACTTTTTCTAAACTTGTCACACAGTTCTCTTTCATCTTTTCAACTTTCATCTTCACACACATTTTACATTCTTTATTAGCCATTATATCCATCATGTACATATTTTTTTTTTCAGATGGTAAAGAAAAGTCGATAAGTACATGCAACATGGAAAATCATATAAAAACACATTCCAGCAGCCGTAACCACAGCATATTAACAAAAAACACAGAATGACTTTAACTATGAGACAGAATTAAACCATTCTCCAAATTATGAAGACTAATTAAGGTTTTATTACCTAATAATCACTGTTTATCGATGCAAAGAAAGAAGTAAATATGTAATATTTCATAAGTACAGTATTGCAGGTGCGCTGCTCTATAGGAAAAGGCTGAGTGACCAAAAGCACTTCTTCAATGTGTTATTGTACAATCTCCTCTAGTAGATGAGTTATGATTTGATCTAACAAACTCATTAAGTGGAGGTGGAGCCATAGCAAACTGCAATAATTCCCAGTTTAAAATATCAAATTTAGTTAAAAATTTTCAATGGTGATTTACATTCAGACTTTGTATTGCTATAGTCTGGATTAGTATTTATAATTAGCTCTAAAACACTACAAATCAATTAAAGGTGCTCTAAGCGATGTCGGGTGACGTGACTTCTTGTTGACGTTTAGAGTATTTTTCAAACAAAACGGAGGCTATATAGACCCTCCCTCCTCCTCATCCGCGAACTAACCCCCCAAACCCCGCCCCCAGGGGCTTCTTGTCAGTGATTGGCTGGAACAGTTTGTTATGTTTCATGGTGCGGGTTAGCCCAGTTTGTTTTAGTAACCATTTGTGGAGCCTGGGTTGTCTGCATAGGCCGCGTTTTTTTACAGTGTGTTTAGAGGACAGGCAGCTAGCGGATGGTGAGGAGACGTTTGCTGTATGTGACAAAACATGTTTGGGCCTAAAAAATGCATGACATCGCTTAGAGCACCTTTAAATATCTACTTTTATCTAAAAGTGTGTGTTCCTATTTAATCATGTGTTAGAGACACATTTGTGCACTATATTTAAGAAACGTTGCAGAATAACAGCATTAATAACTGTGTGTTTGACAGGTTTCTCTGCGTTACACATAATAATGCTGATTCTCTGTGTCTCTGCATCTGGATCTGCACTTCTGCTCTTCTGTCTGATCTACTGTAGATCTCCTACTAAAGGTACACATATAACACACATATTCTGATTTACTGCCATGCAGTGGGAAATGAGTTTGAACCGAATAATAATAATAATAATAATAATAATAACATCATTATAATTAGTGTTTATTGAGTTTGTAAATCAAACAACTGCTGATGATTTCATTATAATATATTACATTTACATTACAATGTTTAGAAAAAGTCCATGGGCCTTTTTTAACGATCTGAAATGCAAGTGTCAAGCGCATGGTGCAAGTAACTTTGTGGGCGGGTCCCGGTGCTGTTGCTATTTTCCCGGCGGGATAAATGCCTCTTGCGCCTGGCGCAAATCTAAAAGAGGTTGGTCTGAAGTAGCTTCATTATTCATAGGTGTGGTTTGGGCGTAACATGAAATAAACCAATCAGAGCGTCATCCAACACACCCTTTTAGAGCAGGTGCGCATGTTGCACGACGGATTGCTATTATAACGGCGGGTTAGCAGGCGCGCGCAGCAGGAGCGTTCACAGCCGATGAGACCGACGCTCTCGTCAGGACAGTGAAAGACAGAGAGGTGACGTTGTATGGGGATGGGAGAAACTCTCGGACATCAGCGTCGGTTAAACATTATATACGTATGTGTCTGCCACTATTGGGCAAACAGGTCTGATCCATTAGCCTTAAAGTTGAACTCCGGCGCAAAATGAACCTTTGGTCTAATTACACATTGTTACCTAGTCAACCGTTATCTGAGATTTGTTTTCATGATTGCCGAATGTAAATAGTTTTATCTCTAAAAACAGTTTAGCCTATAGCGCCAATATAATGCTAGTATATAGGGCATAGGCAAGGCAAGGCAAGGCAAGTTTATTTATATAGCACATTTCATACACAATGGCAATTCAAAGTGCTTTACATAGAAGAAATTAAAATAATCAAAAGAAATCAGAATAATTAAAACAGTTTAGAATAAAAAAAAATAAGAAATAATGAATAAAATGAAGTGCAGTAACAGTCGGACGAACAGTGGCACAGTGCTCATTCAGTAAATGCACAGCTAAATAGATGTGTTTTGAGTCTTGATTTGAATGTGAATACTGTAGGAGCACACCTGATCTCTTCTGGAAGCTGGTTCCTGCTGCGGCTGCCATAATAGCTAAAAGCAGACTCTCCATGCTTAGAGTGAACCCTTGGTATTTCTAGCTGATGTGATCCTAGTGATCTGAGTGATCTGTTGGGTTTATATTCAGTGAGCATATCTGCAATATATTGAGGTCCTAACCCATTGAATGATTTATATACCAGTAATAATACTTTCAAATCAATCCTAAATTTAACTGGGAGCCAGTGTAAAGACCTGAGGACTGGTGTGATGTGTTCATATTTCCTGGTCCTGCTCAGAATCGTGGCAGCAGCGTTCTGTATGAGCTGCAACTGTCTTATGGTCTTTTTGGGAAGGCCAGTGAGGAGGCCATTACAGTAATCCACCCTGCTGGTGATGAAAGCATGCACAAGTTTCTCTAAGTCTTGACTGGAAACAAAGCATCTAATTCTTGAAATATTTTTCAGATGATAGTATGCTGATTTAGTTATTGCTTTGACATGACTATTGAAACTAAGGTCTGACTCTAGTGACACACCAAGATTCCTGACTTGATTTTTAGTTGTTAGACCCCTAGTGTCAAGGTATGCATTCACCTTGAGAACTTCATCTTTGTTTCCAAACGCAATAACTTCAGTTTTGTCTTTGTTTAACTGAAGAAAGTTTTGACACATCCAACCGTTTACTTCATCAATGCATTGGCACAGGGAGTTAATGGGGCTGTAGTCGTTAGGCGATAGGGCTAAGTAGAGCTGTGTGTCGTCTGCATAGCTGTGGTAAGCGATTTGGTTCTTTTTCATTATTTGGCTCATTGGGAGCATATACAGGTTGAATAGGAGTGGCGCAAGAATCGAGCCCTGAGGGACTCCGCAGTTCATGGATGTCCACTCAGACTTATGTTCTCCCATACTCACAAAATAACCTCTCCCTTCTAAGTATGACCTGAACCATTTTAGGACTATCACAGAAAGCCCCACCCAGTTTTCCAGCCTGTCAAGAAGTATGTTGTGATCAACAGTATCAAATGCAGCACTGAGGTCGAGTAGTACCAACACGGATAATTTGCCTGTATCAGTATTTAAGCGAATATCGTTTATTATCTTTATGAGAGCTGTCTCTGTGCTGTGATGTGATCGGAAACCAGATTGAAAATTGTCAAAATATCCATTTGAGCTTAAGAATTTGTCCAGCTGATTGAAGACAACCTTTTCAATGATCTTGCCTATGAAAGGAAGATTTGAGATCGGTCTATAATTGCTCAAGATGGTCTTATCCAGATTGCTCTTTTTCAGGAGGGGCTTGACAACTGCAGTTTTCAGGGAGTTCGGAAAACTCCCAGAGCGAAGTGAGGCATTTACCACTTCTAGGAGATCTGCTTCTAAACAGTTTAAAACACTTTTGAAAAAAGATGTGGGAAGTGTGTCAAGGGCGCAGTTTGATGTTTTAAGGTGCTGTACGGTTTCTACCAAAATTGTGTCATCAATTTCTTCGAAATCAGACATAGTAACTGTTCTGCCCCTCTTTGTGTTGCATTAGAGACATCTAGTGGTGTAAATTTATATTGCATTTGAGTTCTCATATTTAGTCCCTCCTCTCTTGCCGTTGTTTTTGACCGTGTGCTTCTGACTCTGATCTACTGAGAGGTCTCGCAGCAGTTACTCTTTTCTCTTTGCCTTGGTAGTTTTTGAAGGTCTAAGTCTGTAAGTATTTCTGTAAAAAGTATATTTACTTTGCTATATTCTTTCAGTATTGTCCGTTTTAGCATAATATGTATGTTGTATTAATAGATGCTAATCGCGATTAGCATTTCTCCATAGACATCCATGTTAATGTTAGCTTAAATGCTAACTAGTCTTACAAGTCTCTTTAAAATGACTAATTTTTCTTATGGGATAGCTATATATGTTAGACTTGATTTGCATATTCACGTATATGTATATATGGGCAGTTTGTAATGCCATGTTATTATGTTTTCACAGTTTTACAAAATTGGAAAGATCCTTACTAAAGGCCTCTCTCTACTCCGGTTTCCTGGGTCTTTATTTATTGGGTCTTATGTTAGCTATCTGCTACGCTAACCGATCAAAGCAAGAGCAGAATAGTAAAAAGACTTAAAATTCAGTCTGCTACCATAAGAAAAGTGAGATATCAACACTGCAGCCCAGAAGTGCAGCATAGATTCAACAATCTATCATGGAGGAAAAAAGTGAAGAAAAACCTCTGCTATATCCAGAAGATGGACAGTCTCAACACTCCTACCATACCAGAAGCTCAACCCATTCTAGCCGTGCCTCAACACACGGTTCTGCTGCCACGAGAGCTAGAGCTAAAGCGGAAGCTGCAAAAATCAAAGCTGCATATGCACAAAGAGAAGCAGACATGCTAATAAAGCAAGCACGGTTAGAAGCAGAAGAATTTAAAAGAAAAACTGAGCTTGAAGTGGAACTGAAACGTAGGACAACTGAGTTACAGGCCAACCTCAAAGCACTGAAAATACAGGGCGCTGCTGAAGCAGCTATTACAGAGGCTGAAATCCTTGAAGCAGCTTATGAGGAAGAAGTTGGAAAACCAACACAGCAGAATGTGACCAAATTAGCTCCATATCACTCACATCAACGCACTAGTGAGTATGTGCAACAACATTCGCTGGAACATGGGGAGCAACAGTCTCAACTCATGGAACCACAATGCATCTTTACACCAGAGCACCAGACAAACATGGACAACGGTGATACAGATAATCGTGGAATCCAAACACACAGTTGGGAAGAAATAAGCGACGGCATGTTCCAAGAATTAACAGCACAACGCCAAAGCACGAGCACAGCCTACGCTCAGCAAAGCCATGCAAGCCCTTTGAAGTTCTACCAAAATGAGTGCCGCCCTCTACAGACTCGCATCACACCAACAGAAGGTAAAACCTACTTCATGCCCTCTAGAGCACCCCTGCATGATCAGTCAGACACAAAAGACTTAGCCAGATACCTGATTCGCAAAGAAATAATTAGCTCTGGGCTCTTAAAGTTTGACGATAAACCAGAGAACTACTGGGCCTGGAAAGCTTCCTTTGTCAACTCCACCAGTGATCTGAACTTAACCCCCAGGGAAGAGCTAGATTTACTGACAAAATGGCTGGGACCACGGTCTACAGAGCAGGCTAAACGGATCCGTGCAGTTCACATCAATAATGCCAGCGCAGGACTCAAAATGGTGTGGCAGAGATTGGAAGAATGCTATGGATCAGCAGAAATGATAGAAAACGCTCTGCTTAAGAAGTTAGAGGAGTTTCCAAAAATATCAAACAGGGACAATGAGAAGCTGTGGGAGCTAGGGGACCTGTTGCTAGAGCTGGAGGCAGCCAGGAAAGATGGATTCTTACCTGGATTATCTTACCTCAACACACCACGGGGAGTCAATCCCATCGCACAGAAGCTTCCCTATAACCTTCTGGAGAAATGGATTGCAGTCGGCTCTAAATATAAAGACGAACATCAGGTTCAATACCCCCCCTTTTGTGTCTTTGTAAAGTTTATCAGAGACCAAGCAAAGACAAGAAATGACCCCAGCTTTGTCGAACTGACCATGAGTGGTTCAGTCAAGACGGATAAACCTCTGAAACCCACCAAACCGTATGTGTTCACCAGGAAGACTGAGGTTTCTTCAGAAAGTGGTGATAAGCAAAACATTAGGGAAGAAAAGGTTGAGGATCCAGATAGATTATGTCCGTTACATAATAAGCCCCATCCTCTAAGAAAATGCCGTGGCTTTCGCAGCAAGACCGTAGATGAACGAAAAGCTTACCTCAAAGAGAAACACATTTGTTTCAAGTGTTGTGCCTCAACAAATCATCTCGCCAAGAACTGTGACAAATCTGTGCAGTGCAAAGAGTGCAACAGCAACAAACACTTAGCTGCGCTTCACCCAGGGCCAGTGCCA